CACCTACAAAAATTATCAGTGTTAAGTGCCCTCAGCTAGTAATGCCTATGCAGACAGACGTGCACTGTCTCAGATCTCAGTAATTTCAGGAATTGGTGTTAAAAAAGCAATAGCTCATACCTACCCCAGCACTCGAAAGTCACATCGTATTTTCTATAATGTAGTCAAAAATATGTTCCCCTTGGTTATTTGTTTGTATAATCAGTGAATTGAGTTTACATGGCCAGGTTTCGGTAGCAGTGAGGCTGCAGGAGTGGCTTCTGTGAGAAGACACCAGAAGCTGTTGCCATGTCAGCCAGACAGTTCCAAACGGCTCCAAGACAGAGCTGCCGCTGGCCAAAGCTGAGCCGATGAGCAACACTGGTAGTTGCTCCGTGATAACATATTTAAGAAAGGATAAAAAATGCTGCACAACAGATGCTGGGAGAGAGGAGATAGAAAAAGCACTGCAGATGCCAAGGTCAGTGAAGAAGGAAGGGAGGGAGGAGGTGCTCCAGATGCTGAAGCAGACATTCCCCTGCAGCCCATGGTGAAGACTCCACATGTGACGGGGAACTTCACCGCCAGGTCGTGTCCCCCTGCAGCCCATGAAGGTCCATGGCAGAGCAGATACCCACTCTGCAGTCTTTTTGCTGAGTGGGTAACCGGTTTTATACAGTAGGACAACAAAGTACTAACAAAAATGCTGAATTTGGGTTGAAAATAGGAAGATTTTTTTGGAAAGATTTAAACATATGAGAAACAAATCTATTTACTAGCTTCATTCGAGGTTCAAAGTTAACCAGAAGAAGAAATTTAATATAAATTAAGAGGACACCAGAAACGACGTGGAACAAGGCAGCTTAGCAAAAAGACATCCAGTTATTTAGCTCATTCCTTCACGGCTTCTGTGTGTCCCTGTATGTTATCCAGCAAAGAGTATATGTGATTAATCTAGATCCTTACAAGTTGAATTAGAACTTACTTAGTACAAATTTAGTATTTCTTTTCCATATAGATTTGCAACGTATTTGTGTTTTGGTTTACAATAATTTCCTGGTTGTTGCAGACCTGAGGCATGAAGCTTTTTAACATTAATGTCTCCCAATTCTGGACATGGCTGGGGACACTATTGCAGCTAGCTAATCTAGTTCATCGTTCTTTCTGTTTAGTGTATTGGCCTAATTATCCCAGGGAGTTCCAGATAGAACTAAACTTTTAGACAAGGACTAGTAACATAACCTGAAAGGACTTGAAAAAAAATTAGCAAATAAACATGATAACTATCATTAATATGACTGTAGTAAGTGTGTGTGTGTGGGTTCATCAGTTAAGAAAAATGTATTTATTATCACAGTCACAACCACAGGAAATCCTATTTTGGATAAAAGTGTATATTTTTTTAAGGCAAAATGGGAATCTTCTATTGTAAATTCCACTGACATTTTCTCCCAGTTTGTTGTGGAGCAGAGCCAACTTCCTGCTCAGTGAAAGAGGCTGTTGCTTATACTTGTTGCTGCAGCAATCAGGGTCAGCTCACTCAGTTGTTTACCCTGGTGGTGGGTTTGCACCTGTGGGGAGGAGTAGGCAGGTCAGGTGACCCAATGACCAATAGGGTATTCCATCCCATCTGCCATGCTCTGTATAAAAGCTGAGGGAGGAAATCTACCTCCTTCTCAATGGTGTGCATGTCTTCAATGGCTGGTGTCTGAGGAGGACCCTCTCGGTTTGTCTACCTTCAATCCTACTCTGTGGGTTCCTGAATCAAGATCCAGAATCTAGTTCCTGTTTGTCACTGAGGCTAGTCTGAAACTTCCCTAGTGCCTGCTGTTGACATCTCCGTGGGAAATTGATAAGGTTTTGTATATACTGTATCTATTTCATTATTTCCTTGTTTATTTTATTATTAATATATCATTAAAATAGTTTATTTTTTTCTGAACTCATCAATCTCTTTTTCTCTTCTTCTTGGAGTAAGACATGGGGAGAGCATCTCTTGTCTTGTCACTGGCCAACTCATTGGCACAAGGCTTGATACATATTTATAGGATCACCATTTTCTCTGGATCTGGTAGATAAGTTGGCAAGAAGATCCACTGGTTGCACTGTTTCCTTACTTCAGAATGCATTGTTGATTTTTCCTTTCTCCTATGCTGCTATTTGCATAAAAATTTAATTATCACTGAAGATGAATTTCATCTGTATTACTTGTGTTTGTTCCAGTAATTTGATGCTTGTGCTTTGTCTGGTACCACATACTTTGAGTTTGATTGTAATTTTCATGTAACTCTGGTGCCAAAATTAATTGTTAGAAATTGGTATGGACATCCAGGTTTTATTTACAAGCATCCATAGGGAGCTAGACATGGAGTCAGAGTCAGCCATCACACTGAGCAGAGGACCCATATAGAGCTAGCCTAAAGTACAGGCATGAGCCTTTCCAGGCAACCAGTAAATGCTAACAGGAGAGCTATAGTCTGCAGGAGAGCTATAGATGCTTTTATCTCCTTTCAGAACCTCTAAGATAACTTTTAAACATGACTGAATAGAAAGTGCCTTTTTTGTAAAACCTTAAGTTATGATCAGAGCATTAGGCTTTGAGTGACTGAGCTTCTGTCAGCCTGGAGGGAACCTTAATCAGGCAGCAATACCTTTGGGTGGGTATAGCCCAGTTTATCCCCAGCTGTGAATCTGTGCCACCATTCAGAGAAGAATTGAAGATCAACTTGTCTTCATCACTGAGCAAAAGAGCTAGACATTCTTTTGTTTTTCCTTTCTAACTATGAGCTTGTCTGCTCTTCTGTAAAAGGAATGCTTTGAAAATATCCTCTTATGGTTATAAAACACAGAGACAGTGCCAGGAGTTTGATGTAGAGTCCGTTCTGTGTATCAGGCTATGAGAATGAAATCACCCGAAAATGACTATTAGGCCATGAAAAAGACCATCCTAATGGAAGATCTGAGGGTTTGGCTGTGGACTTGCCTACCTTTCCATCTTGGGGTGTTTCAGGCAGGAAATAAAACTTAGGCATTAGGGACATACAAGATCAATATAATTTGCCCTGGATTTATGTGATTCATGCAAAGGAATATTTAGGACAGTATTTTTGGTTATAGATACGTAAATATTACTGGTTTAATCATCTTTCCCCCCACTTGAAATTATCCTGAGAAGTACAAAATGCAGCTGAACTGAAAGCTCAATTTTCCTAGTTGCTTCCTTTCTCTGGGTTGAAAATATTTTATTTCATTTTCTGCTTATCTTATCTCCTACTTAGAGACCTATTTCTGGAGATTTTCCCCTTGAACTCCCATTTTTTCTCAGGGAAAGCTCTGTGTAGCTCACTTGAGAGTGAAATTAACAACAACTCCACATTTACAAGACAGGATATCCAGGGTTTGTCTACATTCTTATTTTATTCAGTCATATGTGGGTCCTGCATTTGACCTCTAAATCTGAAAGACAAATCAGTTGTGGAAAGAGAAGAATCAAGTAATATATTTGGAGAGATATTTTTAAAAAGGGTTCACTGTATTATAGATAGCTTGCTGTAAATTTTCAGCAGTTATAACAAGTACTTAAACTTTTCAAGCAAATCATTCAAATTAATTTGCTTTCTGTATAATTATTAATTAGCATGGTTTAAGCACCATTTAGTAATCTTTCATAACCCTTTGTTTTTGAGTAGTGAACCCGAAACAACTCAGTATAGTTCAGGAGATTCACTACAGGGTTGAGGATATTATAATATTGTTGAATCGCGTATCTTTCCACTAGGCATATACTTAATGGAGAAATTACACCCTTTTGGTTTCATTAGTGGGAAATTAATGACTAAGTACTGTTTTCTGACAAAAAAAATGACATGTCTGTCAGAAGGAAAGTTAATGTTTCAATTCCATTCTTTGTTACCAATTGCTTTTCCTCAGTTTAGAGTAGACCTATCAGTGTAAGGCACAGGTCAACTACTAACAAAGAGGAAATATGACTTCAAATTATCCACAATATATTGTTTATTAATAGCAATGCAAAATACCATGTGCCACAGAAACCAGACAGTTTGTTTTGATCATTTGACTTCTAAATTATACAGAACATTGCTAATTTGTATTCAGATATGCAGATACTAGCATATAATTAATTAAACCAATCTAATCAAAGGGTATTGGAAACAGTAAGCATGCTACTGGAAACAAAGTAAAGATTATTTGATTTGTAAATATTTTTTGATACATCATAATGACCAAAATTGTGGGTCTTAGTCTACAAGGTGTTTTTCTTTTTTTTTTATGTAATCAAAGGGAGCATTCAATGAAGAAAATATTTTTTCAGTAGCAATTCAGACTAAGTAAAAGCTTGGGGGCCCAATGGCTAGAAAAATGATATCATCCCTGACTATGTAAATGTCATGGATAATGTGTATGTATAAGCATTATATATATAATATATATAAAACATATACTGTTTTTTTTTTTATGATAGAATGGTTAGAGTTGAAGGGACCTTAGAGATCATGTAATCCAACCCCCTTGCCATGGGCAGGGACATCTCCCACCAGACCAGGTTGCTCAAAGCCCCATCCAGCTTGGCCTTGAACACTTCCAGGCATGGGGCATCCACAGCTTCTCTGGGCAACCTGTTCCAGTGTCTCGCCACCCTCACAAAGAATTTCTTCCTAGTATTTAATCTAAATCTCCCCTCTTTCGATTTGCAGCCATTACCCCTTGTCCTATCACTATGCTCCCTGATAGTCTCTCCTGTAGGCCACCCTGCAAGTACTTTTGTATCCCATTTTGTATCAACTTTCTCTTGTAGCAAATACCTTTAGAATGGAAGGATTTTAACACTAGGCTTAATCTGTTTGCAACACTTCTTATTCCACGTTACTCTGAGGAAACAATTATTGGTAATGACCCTGTATATTACAAAGCAAAATTACAAGTACCTGTTTGTCCTGGTTCCGGCGGGCGTAGGGTTAATTCTCGGCAGGGCCCCAGGTATTTCATCCCACCGGCCGTGCCCGGTCTTTAGCCCGGGGCTGACCGGAGGAGGAAGCAAAAAGTTGCCGCTTAGGAGCAGGCTGGGGCGTTCCGGGTCCTGTCGGTGAGTGGTGGTGTCGTAATCGTGTTTGTATGTTCCTCTGTCATTGTTATTTTCTTTTCTCCTTCCCTTTGCTGTTCCGTTAAACTGCCTTTGTTCCACCACACGAGTTTTGCCGCCTTCTTCCGATTCCCCCCCTCCTGGCTGTGGGGGAGAGCAGCTTCCTGGTTCTTTGTTGCCCTCAGAGGCTAAACCGTGACAACGTTAAAATTTTGTTTATCACATGGCCAGATTTGTTAATAGTTTCATTTCGATTGAGGAAAGTACTAATGAGAAAAACATGATGTTCAGTGTCTTTATGGAAGTCAATTTCAGACAGATGAATGATTACCCTGACATTCAACACTGCAAGAGTAGTATCTCAGTCTGATTCTTCATATTGGTGACTACAATTATACCTTTAAGACAGAGATGACAATATCACTTTTCACATAAAGGTGGAACATGAGGCACAAATCATAATATTTGTCTATCCAATGACAAAATCTCTACTTGAGACTGGGTGGACAGTGGTGAGAGGTACACAAGTCTGTAACAGATGTGTCTACAGAAGAAAACCCTACAATAACGCCTAATATCTCAGCATTTGGACATGTAGTATTAATTTTAATTTATTCTTAGAGTATAGATAAAAGCCATATTTTTAGCTATTGTAAGGATTCATTAAGACTTATACATGCAATGTTGTTTTCACTTGGGCAACTATGAACAGCTCTGTCAAATCCTGGCTTTGCAGCAACTACGAACAGCTCTGTCAAATCCTGGCTTTGCAGCTTGCATCAAATTTTAGAGAGTGGATTTCTTCCTGAATCTTATGTAAATCTTGGTTTCACTCGGCAGTATCAAGAGTATTTAACAGGAACTTTATACACAAAGAATCTTATACAGCAATGCATATTCAAGTTATGCTGTCAATTGACAGGTTGATAGCTTCAAAATTATTTCCTAGAAATGATAATAAAAATATCAACTTTGCAAGGAGCAATTTGAGATGTTCTGCAGATGATTTGTTGTTGCTATTTCCACCACAATAAAGGAAGATGTGTCAGTCCCCTGCTATTGGTGTGTACTTCCACTTGTGTTGCAAAAAATATATGTATGTATTTTTTTCCTACCAACTATTTACAGGAGTTCATGAATGTGAATAATATGGACTAGGCTGAGAGTTTATCCAGTGGCTCTAAATCCAAAGAACATCAGTTGCTTGCACAAGAACAAGATCAGACTTTGCATGACGTACGAATATGTGTTCTTGAGTGCCCTAAGTAGCAAAGGATGTATATTTTTGCTTAAGAGTTATTTCTTTATTGGGAGCACAAGAGTTTTCAGGAATTGATAATCTCCAATGTATTTGTAACAGGTATAATACATATTTCAGTAACACATATTTGAAAGTTGGGTACATGTCAAATTATGATACCATGAAAGAAAGGTAAACTATATGGTAAAACATGTTACACATAGATCAGTTAAATAATTTTCAACAGAAGTGAAAAAAAAAAAAGGAATTTGTATTCCAGTTCTGTGTAGCTATACCATGTCTCTCCCAGTTCAGTGCTCTGAAATCACCATTGTAGGTCAGTTTAGAGACACTGTCTTTTATCTTTCAGAAAGAACAGATACAGTTGTATTCCTCGTCTGCAAGAATGAAATTGTTAGACTGGAATAAATGTTTGGATTTTATATTAATAGAATGTAAATTGAGAGTTTCCTTTAATGTAAGACTAAAATTCTAATGTTTACAAAACTTTGAGATGCTACTTGATTTACTAGATATTTTAATAATCTATTGTATTCAAGATAGCAGTTTTATTATCTGTCCTCACAGTCCAAAATATCATGAAGATTATAGAATCCTAAAAATACCCAAAACAAAACAGAAAATGTTTTCTATTGAAAATATATTAAGATTATAACCTTGCTTTGGATTTCCTTTGCTGTTAATGAGGAGCACTGATACGCAGTGAAGGCCATTGTTCTTCACTTAAATATAAACACCAAAGGAGACTGCCTCAGCGCACAGGTACTGAGTGTCCTTGGAGGATGAGATGAAGGATCACGTTTCTGTAATTTAATAGCTGAAATAATGTTACTACCAATTAAACATCTGTTCACTGTAGAAATTGGGCAGTTTATAACACAGCAGTTTTCTGTGCCTCCTTCCATCTACTCCATGACAGAGAACTGAGTACTTGTATTTTTGGATTTTAAGGCCAACATCTGGTGTGGACACTGGAAATTTAGCTGGCTCTTTAATGCCATCTAAGTTCTGTTGTACTGAACAGCACAGGTACCTAAAATGATATATCTGAACCAGTACAAAAGGTGCTTCATCACAAGTGTGGGGCCAGCAGTGCAATGCTTCTGGGACTTCATAGGAAGATATTTTTGAGTTCCACAACCCTCACCAGTCAGGCACATTTTCCTGTTTGAAGTAGGGGATTCAAGCATGTTTTTGAACTGATTCTTACTTTTGATTGAAACATAGAAACATCTAGAGAACTGCTGCTCTTTGGGGAGGACACTTAGAGGGCTTTAGCTTTACCCCAGTGAATCTTCACATACTTCACATACTTCACATAAATTCAGTGAAAAGGGAAGTGAACAGGAGTACTGCGGAAATTCAGGAGGGAACATAAGCCAAAAAAGTACTAAAAATACTGCGGCAATTTTGGACGCGGTTGCAGGGAGCAGTCCTTGTCTTCCCCTATTAATAATTCCTAATAGTGTTTGTGACCAGGTTAGATGAGGCTTCGAGCAACCTGGTCTAGCAGAAGCTGACCCTGCCCATGGCAGGAGGGTTGGAATTCCATGATCTTTATTTAAGGTCCCTTCCAACCTAAATCATTCTATGATTCTATGATTCTATATCACTGCGGATGACTCCACACAATTCATGTGACTTTGCACTGTTTTTCTAATTCTGGATCAGCCTGTACATCAATGATGCTCCTGGGTCTTCAGCTTTTCCCTCTGGGATTAATAATTTTCACTGTTTAAATGTTCTAATAGTTGCAAATTTAAATGTGTCCATCTGTAGCTTCCAGCATTTTGCTTAAATATTTTCCTCTGTTAGAGAGTACATTTGTTCTCATATACAGTAATTGAGATGCCTCAAAATTTTTTTGAAATGAACAGAGTTCCTTCAGAATCCATTATAAAAACAGCAACAAAAAAATACTTAAATGGAAGACAGAAAACCTTCTTAACAATTCTTCAGTATGTTTGTATACCAGTATGTCTATATGTGTGTAAGGGCAGACTGAAATTGTTTTGTTAACCCCAGAAATGTATCTACTTCTGGATACAACAAAAGAGAAAAATTAATAGCTTCTGGGAATAATCTGAATCGGGAATGAAGAACATGCTGAAATTCTCTGTAGCTAACAAAGCTAAATACAAAAAGACAATGTATGTCATCCACCTTTACTGTTCTCAGACATAGGGAAAATGCCCCTAGCCTAGCTTTGAAGAAAGTGAAATGTAAGCATTAAAGAAAAAACAGATTTTCTTTTTTTTTTTTTTAATGTCTGCAGCTAGAAGAGTGATTCCAGAGAAAATAGGACAATTTCACTACATTACCTATATTCTCTGTCATGCTCTGTGCAATTAAGGACAACACTTTGAGGAATGTGTGCCATTTAAAGCATACATAGGTTTTTCTTGTTACTGTGTAATTACTTGGAGTAATGGTTATGCAATTAGATCAAAGTTCATTGTTATGAGTACTAGAAATCATTTGTTTTACTGAGGATAAGAACCCTGCTTCCCACCCACCCCCAAGACAGGAAATATTAGTGCCACTTGCAGGAAGAACACTATTGTCTGTCATATGAGAACAGCGTCATTAATATTTAATTTTTATCATAGAATCACAGAATGGTTGAGGCTGGAAGGGACCTTTGGAGGTCATCTGATCCAACCCCCACCTTCTCAAGCAGTGCTACTAGAGCAAGCTGCTTGGGTCCATGTCCCAATGGCTTTTGAATATTTCCATGGAGGGAGACTCTATGCTAGCTCAATTTAACCAGCTAGCTACCTAGACTCTGAACTGTTATTTAAAATGTTCAGTGTATATACTTACAATTACAGAAACCCTGCAGAGCATTTCTGTAGAGATCAGTGAGCCAGATGAGGTTAGTTTTGGGTTGGTTTTTTTTTTTTTTTGGTTCCCCAAGGCTTTCATATTCAAAGGAAATCATATTTAGAATGCTATGAGTTACTGTGCTACACAGACTCAGAGTGAGTCAGATTAAAACCACCTAAAAAGAATTTTAAGATTTAAGGGGAAAGTGAATACTATCCCATCACTTTTGGAATCTGAGAAATACAAAGAGATTTTAAATGGATACTGGCAAAAGCAATGTGCCTGTAAACAGTACTCCTAATAAGAAAACTTTGTTGTTTTGTTGCTCAGCCATATTTTACCAGAAAAAAAAAAAAGTCTAGGCCATGCTTACTTCATATTGTAAATGAAGAAGTTATGTAACATAAGTCAGCATAGTCCATCTGCAGTGAGCAGATCATATGTAGTCCATGGACATTTCCACCCATCCAGTTGCTTATTCTGTAGGAGTCTGAGTAGAATTGTTCAAGCAAGGAACAGTGCAATCAACTTATCTTCTTGTACTTGCTAGGAGCCCAGACTGAAAAATCAGAATATTACCCATGCTGAAAGTGGAAATTAAAGTCATTGATACCTATGAGACAGTGACAGTCTTGCTTCCAGAGGGGAGGTCCTCCAGTGTTTCCTGCTGGATAATGAGAGAAAGCCCAAAATTCACTTCCCAAATCTCTTTTATGCCTCTGGAGTTTTTAAGACTGGATCTTACTGATATAAAAAAATCTCTGTATTAGGAATAAAATGGGGGAGATTGTCTCTGTAGCCCTTATGGGTTTTGTTCACTAAAGCATAGGTGTTGTTGTTTAACCTCAGTACGAAGGCAATGTCACGCAGATCCTCGCTTGCTCCTCTGCATTGGGATGGGGGAGAGAATTAGAAG